AGGAATCGTCGAAACAAATTAGCATCTAGAATTTGCCAGGGTGCTGCGACACCGTCTTTTGGTCCATTGGACCGTGTATCGTGTTTGGGCCCATTAGGGGGCGCGTCCAGGGGGGGTGACGCCCAAGACTCTATAATTAGCAGCCGTCGCTCTCCTTAGGGTTTGAGTTTTGTTTAGTTCTTGATTTCCTTGTGAAACAGACGTTGTTTTGTTGCAACTGTACCGCCAAGGCCGCTTGCTGTGAACCAGGGCCCGAGTTCTTGATCTTGTTCGCCTATGGCGTTTAGTCCTTCCGAATAAAGACTTAAACTCCTTCTTGTTTTCTGAAGCCTCATATTTATTTGCAATTTCAGATTGCGTTAATTCCGTTCTTGCTTGTGTTCTCGATTCGCTTGTAGAAAAGCCTTCTCGACGAGGTCAATCGCATTCGCGTGGTTGATAACCAATGGAGCAGTGGTGTAACGGTTGTGGAGGTCTGAATCAGTCTTGGTTCAAAGCCTAGATCGTGAATGTCAAGTCTCCACCAATCGACGCTATCATACCTTTTGGAAGATCGGGCCTTGTCTACATCAAAAAATGCCCGGACGTTTCTACCCAAATCACCCGGGGGCTCGAGGGCTACACCCGTGGGTGCGCTCGCGCGCACCCGCTGTCAAGACAAAAATCCCCTAGAAGATTCTACGAGAATCACCCGGGGGCTCGGGGGCTCCTATCGGGATCATGGACCTGCTTCCCTCATGGACCTGCTTCCTAGCAAAAGCTCGGCCCAAACAGACATTGTTGCAAACAACGCGCAACTCCTAGGCCAGCCCAAAAACCTAACGACAGGCCAGAAGGGCGATCCAATCTCAGCCCGAGAGGCCTGGCCAAAGAGGAACGGCGCCCACTTCCGACTCTGGCCCGCCTCTCCGATCGGAAGGCCTCGCTTCTGACTCTGGCGCGCCTCTCCAACCCGAAGGCTTGGCTGAGGAGGAACAACGCTCGTTTCTGACTCTGGCCCGCCTCTCCGACCGGAAGGCCTAGCCGAGGAGGAACAGTGCTCGCTTCCGACTCTGGCCTGCCCCTCCGACCAGAAGGCCTCGCTTCCAACTTCGGCCCACCTCTCCAACCGAAAGTCCTGGCCAACAATGCTTCCGACTCCGACCCGCGTCTCCGATCGGGGATACACCAAACCTCTGTTTATAGCTCTTCTCCGACTGACGCAGTCGGAGCCGACTAGGATCAACCGACTGGGGACGCCCGCTCGGTGAGGACTAGGAAACGGGTAGAGCAAGTAAAGTAGGATGCTCAAGTCAACCGCAAAACCAAGGACTGTACCCTGTACACCTGTAGGACAGTACCGACAAGATATGTCAGAAGGGTGCCTTGTAACTATCCAGGCATGTTAAAACCCAAGCAGTGTTGTGGGCGCCGACGATTTGCCTACAGTGTTGTGGGCACCATCAATTCCCATACCCGACGAACACGATAAAACCCCCATATGACTCTTGGCATCGACAGTGCTGTGGGCACCATCATTTGCCATACATGGTGAATACGGTAAAACCTCCCACACGCGTCTAACACAAACAGTGTTATGGGCGCCTACCATCATCTTGTACCCTACGGTGTGGGAAACAAGACTTAGTAGCATGCGTACTCTCACTCTCTCTCTCTCACTTGTAAAGGCCGTCCCCTTCATCTATAAAAGGGGATGCGCTCTCTCCCAACGGGGGGATCGATCAGTTCACAACAAAAACAACACACACGATCCGAACGACCAAGGATCCCAACAAACAACAGACGTTCGAACACTTAGCGCACAGCGGAGCTCCCGTCACTCTCGGCCCTTCAGACCAGAGTCCGATCGGACCTCTTGCACCCCCATCTTTCTCCCTTCCGTTTGTAACCCTATAGCAAATTTCGAGCACCTAGGCTCAGGAATAAAGTCACCGACCGACTCAAACTGGACGTAGGGCACGTTGCCTGAACCAATATAAACCCTATGTCATTGAGTGCTAGGCCACATCCGATCACAACGTACGGCAAAACTACAAATATTTGCTTGTTGGTCACTTTCTGCACCGACATATACCGTGAACCCTATGTAGGTCCAGGATCGAATATATGCTTAGCAATGCTTAGACCGGTAGAAGTCGGGTGATTTCCTGTCACCGACGAAATATAGGTGGATACCAAAGCACGGTTGGCTATATTGCTATCGTGGAAAATAACCATGTGATGATGAATAAACGGAGACCGGACAGGATCTGGTGATTGAGATGCAGCAGGATATGGAGGTCTTGTGTGCATGTTATATCCCGTCTATGTCGTTTAAGGACCATACCATTGTTGGTGAATCTGTCGAGATTGAACGCATGCCTCTCACTTAGCTGGCCGGATAACTTGTTCCAACCGCGAAGCCGAGTAGCTCAACTCAGACCGGGCCCCGTTCTGTAAAAGTGCGCACTCTAGATGGTAGTAAGGATGTGTGGGGAGCTAGACGTGAGCCCAAGGGCAGGGTAGTCCTGATCGTCCTGGCAGCTGGTTGTCCCTGATTGTGCGGCGCTAATCGAACCCGTAAATTAGGCCTGAGTTGTACCAAAGATGACCTAAAACTACCTTGGCGCAGGTTTGTGTTAGGAATAACTCCCTAGCTGGTTTGAATCGATTCGAATCGATGTCTCTCCCGAATAGTGAGAAACTCTGACTCACACCAACATCGTAGTAACTGGAATATGGAATATGATGGTTATGAGGAATATGAAAATGTTACACTGGCTATGGTTACTATTGTTATGCTACTAAATGATATACCACATGTTTGGCATAGGTTAGTTGCTAATCTAGAGATGAATAGCTATAATTAACTTGATGACCGAATTATAAAATATATAGCTGAATTAGTGACTTTTTATGTAAAATATTGTCAAACTAGCTCCACTTATAAAGCCTTGCATAATCCTTGGTGTCACTTTATTTCTGGTTTATGATTAGTAAGTCTAGCTGAGTACATTCGAGTGCTTAGGGTTTATCCCACCATGTTGCAGGTGAAAATTTCGGCCTGAGGAAGATGGTGGCTAACCACCGGTGGGCTCGGTGACTATATATTTATTTCTCATCTATATGCTTTTGTCAGAGGAGGTCACTTATGCTAGCAATGTATTTGGAACTTATATTAATGTAATCATTTGAAAGCTATGTTGTTTTTCTTTAACCGGTTTTGAAACCTAAACTTGTACTATTATTTGTGAATCCATTTGTAATATTATTTACGCTGCAACTCTGTGTATAAGATGTGTATTTGCTTAATCATGCGATCTTGGTTATGATGTTGATTTACCGAGGTCCTTCGTGACACTCGGCGGACTACCGGGTTTATATAAGTGAAAGTATGCGCGTGTCAACGTGTTTAACGGGGACAGCCGTACTTGATCTTGTATAAATTGGGCGGTTCTATCACAGTTGACACCCTCTTCCAAAGCGTCCTTGTCCAATTCTGGATACAATCCTGCCCAAAATTTCATTAGAGCCTCTGCATGGCAGATGATTTCTAGCGGGTTTTTGATAATCTTTTTGTCAAAACAAGCTTTATTCCTCGCCTTCCAAATCGCCCAGCAAATTGTTGCTATGCCCAGAACATGAAACCTTCTACCTTGAGGCAGCCATTTTTCAAGCCAAGCCCAGCATTGGCTAAGATTACCAGGTATTCCTCTTAAACATGTTATCCTTAGTTAAGACTACCCCATTTTATAACAGCCACATGAAAAAATTGATCTTGGGAGGGATCTTCCCTTTCCAGATTTGCTTGAGATAAGCGTCATTGTCTCCCACAGTCAATGCATTATACATTGACTTAACAGTGAACTTGCCTTTTTTATCCCATTTCCGCATCATTTTATCAGGGTTTTCAGACAGTTGAAACATTTCCACTAAAGACCAAATTTTGGTCCAAATATCTCTACATTGGCAACCATCTACGAAAGGAAAGCTGCACTCCCACATTTTTGACACTGTCAACAGTGACTTCCCTCTACTCACACAAAATGTAGAGTTCAGGGATGAGAGAGCACAAGGGTCTATCAAATAGCCAATTATCTTCCTAAAATCTCGTTTTCTTGCCATTTTCAATTTTAACAGTTCTCCCTCTCAGGTAGATATCCTTAACTTTTTGCAGATCATACCATCACTACAAGAAATGTGTCATCTTTTGACATTTGACATTGGTCATAAAACATGAAAAATAAGCCATAGGTTGTCAATTGTGACACCGAATTGACAAAAAATGGAATGTTAAAAGATGAGCGTCTTTAATGACAACTTGTGACGTTTAGATGTTAAAGTCATAACATTATGACTTTGATTTCGAGTGTCATAAACATTTATGACATCTGTTTTAATGTCAAAGGTTTCTTGGACCTAAAGCCCATAATAAAATTGAATTCAGCCTGTTTGAGCCCACATAGTAGACAGGCTTATAACGGGGCCCATTGTTGTAGTTCATTTTTGGCCTAGCCCATTTCATCGGATGTATTGATTCTGGTCCAACCCAACCAACTTAGAGCATCTCTATGAGTTTCCTATTTTTTCCTCCTAAAACTTGTAGTTTTACAACTTCTAAAAAGATATTGGGAGGGAAAAAAGAAAGCCATCTCCAAGAGTTTCTAATAAACAGCTACTGAACAACTGCTAGTAGACCTATAAATCTGACAAGCCTTTGCCTACAAGCCCCTCTCTCTCTCTCGTATAGTCTATGCTCTCCCCTCTTTCGTAGCTCTTCTTCCTATGCCCCTCGCCGGAACAGATAGCATCAGAATCTCCAGTGGCTGGGCATCTTTCCTTTTCCTGCCATAGGCCGTGACGAGAGCTTCTTACTTGCGTGCTTGCTCCGGCTATCATATTGCCTGCCTATGAAGCTCTCTGGCCAATGGAGGAGCTACTTCTTCTTCCCTAGCCTTTCTCGTCTCTGATTCGTCCATTGACCTTCTCGCGTCTTGTGTGAGTGCTACTACAAGCAAGCGATGGACATGAACGAGAGCGGCGAGAAAGGGATGGAGGGCAACGCGTCCTCCGGTGCCGTCGGCATCCCGGTGGAGTGGCAGACCCAATTCAGCGCTGCCGCCTTCTCGTGCGCGCCGCCACCGCCGCAGCAGCAGCAGGTTCCCATGATGGACTCCGCCTTCGCGCCCGCCGGCCTGTGGGCGTCCACCTCCCAGGCCATGTTGCTCTCCAACGTCAGCGCCATGTCGACCGCGCGGGGCGGTGGCAGCTTCTTGGCGCCGGTCCTCGGTTTCCTCCCGCAGGGCCTCGGCCATTTCCCCGTGGACTCCGGCTTCATCGAGCGCGCCGCGCGGGCGTCCTGCTTCGGCGGCGGCGGGGTGATGGGCGCTACCGCTGGCTTCCGTGCAACTGATCATCAGCCCATGAACAACGCGTTCAGTAGCTCCTTGGAGTCGCCGTTGGATCACCAGAGGAAGGACGACAACGAGAATGGGCGAGCCAGAGCTCGGCCGGAACGGCCACGACGGGGCGCAGGAGAAGGATCCGCGTGTGTAAGAGCCGCGTAAAGTTACGCAGAACTGGCTCAGTTTTTCTAAGTGGCTAAATATTAGAAGGATGGATTAGGCACTGTTGTAAACAGATTTTTTTTTATTTTTTTAAAAACCAAGTATTAGGAAAGCAAATAGGGAACTCTTGAAGATGCTTTTACGATAAGCTCACAAAAGTTTTTTGGCGAGCCCATGCAAATTTTCGTACACATTCCAGAAAATAAATATTCAAAACAAAAAATTCCAAATTTATGTTTAACAAATGCTGCCCAGCCATTTAAATAAACAAATAGGCATGTTGCCCAGCCAAAACACAAGTCACAATTTGACAACCAAGCACGTACATATATCTATAAAATATAAATACATTAGCCGATGCATTAATTTGCATTATGACAGCAACTAAATAACTGATGCATGCAGCACACCATAAGCTCCAAATATTCGCATTATCAAGTATCAGCTCGCTCTGTGCTTCACTGCAGCAGCCCCAACCAGATGTCAGCTCGCAGCAGCCGATGGGCTGTTGCAGGACAGCTGCTGCAGGACAGCTGCAGCACAACAGCGCCGTGCAGTAGAAGCCAGTAGGCTATCTGCACCAAATATAATGGGACAGAATAGCATTAGCATGAGTGATCCAAATGTAGAGAAACATGCGGAACACAAAGAATTGTTCTCTATGCAACATGACAAGCTAATTATCCAGTATATAAAATGCTAGTTTCGAGGGAAGCATTTAACGTGCTAGTTAGCTACTGCCAGTCTGCCACCACATCCCACACACGCATTAACCAAGAAAGATTATTAGACTACTCATGATTGATTCAGATGAACTTGCAACAATGAATAACTAGAAGCACATGCATCCAAAACACAGTAGCAACTGGAATTAACAGCCATCGTCCAGCAGGTCACCATGGTCGACTGCCACGCGTGGACGCTCTAAAAGCATGCTTAATCAAAACAAACACATACAACCAGCACTTGTTGGGATACATAACATGGGATGACAAGAGTATAGGATTATATATAGTCCAGCAGAATCGAAGAAGTGCCCAAGACATTTTACTGCAATAGAGCACTATTCCTAAGTAGCATAGAAAAAAGCACATCTACCATACACTAAAAAAAACACTAAAGACAGCTATGATACAAATCAGAGAGCACCCTATTGAAGTCAAATGTTGAGAGAATCACACTTTGAGGTGCTACGCCAATTAGCGATTTCACAAAAAAACATCTAAATTATTGCTAAGAAATAAGGGATTTCAGCAGGATAGGCATGTAGACATATAAGCATAGTAGTATTGTCAATCTAACATACTCTTGCAAGTGAATAAAATAAGTTTCTAAACAGGCCATTTGACATTGCTAACCACCTTGCAAGTGAATCATACATATTCAAATCAGATTGTTATATGGCAATAAAATAAGCTCATATTTATCAAGTGCAAGCAGTCGGTTCTTACTACTGATTTTACACTTTACAGTCCTATCAATAATGCCTACTTTCAATGCAATTCAGAGGCAAGGATAATGCCTGTTTAGTTCATAGTTTGAGCAGATATCAGTCAAGAAAATTATTGTTGTCTTTGCCAACCTCTAAGGATTTTATAACATGTACTCAGATCATGAAACCTACTCTTAATAATGTTCCAGATCTATATGATTGGCTATAGCATTTTACTTAACTTGTCACAACATACCTGCTACTGCTAGCCATTTCAGGTTCCAGATCTTGACTGTAGCATTTCACTTATCTGATTGGTTGTAGCATTTCACTTAACTTGTCACAACATACCTGCTACTGTTAGACCTTTCAGATTCCAGATCATGACCTAAAAAATGAAAATAGTAGTTAGTAGGAAATTTGGATGAATTAGCTAGCATGACATCAACTGGGTTTTCACAAGAATAACTTTCAGCTTTTCAACTTTTCAAACTGCACAAAACTATCCAAATCCAACACAGTCAAGGTAGTAGGGATCTGCATGAACCATATAAAAGTTGTACATATTTAAATCTAGCTATAAGTACAGCAGCATGAACACTAGACTGCATGGTTTATATCAGCAATGCTTGTGTCCATTTCCTCCATCTCAGGTATAAGTGCTATGACAGACTTAAGTGCTATAAGTGCTATAGATTTAAATCTACCAATGATTCTAGTAAAAAACACAGATCGAGAATTTTACACAAAACTGGACTTTAGTAGACTTTTTCAGCTACTGAAGTTTGCTAACTTTCAGTACTAAAGCAATGAAGCAGTCATCTCCGCACATGTAATATCATACACATGCTCTGGGATTTCAATAAAAGCAGAGTTTTTCTCGGTTAAAACAAAAGGAATGAATTTGTACATCCTGGACGTTTTTCTTCACTTCATACAGAGGGTATTTATAGAATTCATCATTCTACTTGTGTTTGTTACCTCGTTTTCCTTGGACCAAACAAGCTTAAGATATCTAGTATATTAACATGTTCCGTAAGCATCGGTGTAAACACAACACTGCTAGAAAATGATATGTGAACTCAGAATGAAATGCACGCAAATTAAAATCAGATATACATCTAATCCATGGACCACAGGAACATCATCATATCATAATTTGGTACATCCTAAATACGCTTGGTTGTAGTAGCTGTCCAGTTGTGCAAAACTTGACAGGCATCAGCGGAACACTAGACATCCGCAGGACGCAGAACACTACAAATGCAGCTGGATCTAACAAACATCAAGCAAGTGAAGCGACCTGATTTCCGCGAAGGGAAATCCACAGAGTCGAAGTGTAATAAAACCGTTGTAGATCATATTACCCAAATTCTAGTCGAATATCACATCCATACAACGATAATATCAGAGTACAAATAGTGTGGAATTACATAAATTATTACATCGCCGTATTGGTGGAATCAAAAAGTAGTATTTATTCAGAACAGCTTGAAGATAAGATCGCCAAACTTGAGCTAGGAACGAACCCCTCAACCGTCAAACTCCTCGGAGCTATACTCCTCAGCAGAACCTGTGTGCCAAAATTTATCAGTACGATTTGTACTGGCCACTCCCACCCTATGAGCATTGCTTTGTGGAAATTGGATGCAAGTTGGATATAATCAAAAGGAACCTATAAGCTGGGGTTTCCTATGTTTTAGCATAACAAGTATATAAGAATAGTCGGTCAAGTTTTAACACCATTCCCACACCCATTCCACCCCATTCACATACCAGAGCCAGGTGTCGATCCTAGGATCGATATACCACCATCTCCATACCATCACCATACCACACCCATACCATCGCTCAATCGACAGGCCAACTCCCTCTCGGCACTGTCTCAAGGCCCGTAGCCCCTGGCTACATCCGAACACTCACTCCCAGGAGGAGAAGAGAAGGACTCATCTCACTATCTAGTTTAAGCGAAACCCAGGAAAGGTCCATAGTCGACAAGTCGGCATATGTATCGATCGATCAACCATACACTCTGCAGAGGTTTTACATAACCACAAGATCTGTCTTCCACACTGACCGTCGTCAACTGGGCTGATTCCGGCCGCTTGCTAGCCTAGGATAATGCCACTCTACTATTTAGCCCTGGTACACTCCAAGTCTAGTCTAGGGTGGCTGAAACTGTGAGTCATGAGCCAGGTCCACAAGGTCTCCATAAAGTCTCGGAAGGGTGTGGGGGAAATCCTCCGCGTCCCGTACCTCCTTACACTGTCCGCTATTAACCTAGCAGTAGTGGCAATATCCTACCAAGTAGTCCGGCCGTCCCGCACCATATAGGGCGAGTGGTACGTAAGGCTTCCCGGTGAATCTGAGTACTAGTAAGTCCTTAGGGATGACCAAGCCAGAATGTGTTCATCAGGGTTTCCATTTACCGTGCCACCACAGCACCTCCACCCTAGGCTCCTCCCATCACAGGTTCACACCCAGGGCCACCTCATATACCATTTACCCACCACAGGTATCCATTCTAGGGGTGCCCAGGTAACACCCCACGGCAAGACTTGCCCCAGGCTCGTCGTATACTCCAACTTGGTCGACACAACCCTCACCCTCCACGCACCCAAGTCACACACGCAGCACTCTCCCCATAGTCCAAATAACACCAGTTTTCCACCACGCATCAATGTAGTATAAGCGTAGTAGAAGTAATAAGCAATGAAATATTGCAGCAAACGTGTGACTAGCCTAACAGCAGGGTGAGTAGGGGTAAGGTTGCGTCAAGGTAAAGGCCATCAAGAAAGCATACTACCATGCAAGTCCTACCATAGTGTGATCATGACAATAAAGTAAGCACTAACATTTCTATTTTAGTCATGCATAATAGGTGCTACAAAATTGGGTGGGATGTGGCACCTTCAGTGTAGTCATCTCCATACTCCTCACGGTACTCATGATCCTCGTCCGTCCGGTTCTCCTCCGAGTCTGCAAACGATCGTATTATAGTCGCGTTAGTGACGTCTATAGAATAGCACAAAGACGCAATGAAAATTCAAAAGAGCCAAATGCACTCAAACATGGGTTCATTGCGTAGAGCTCGATTTTAGATGAATTTTGGTCCAGGTTTCGTATTTTTCTGAGGTCATATGAATTAGTTATGAATTTCCAAAGTTTAAATCATTTCTAAAAATGGAAAAGGCTGAATTAATCCTGGGCTGACACGTGTCACGCTGTGACTGGTCCTCGTGGCATGCTGACGTCATCATGACCTCAGCATGACGTCATCATCTCGGTTCCGAGCTGACAGGTGGGGTCCAGCTGACGTCAGCATGACGTCATCTACGTCATCAGTTCCGACAGGTGGGTCCAGGGGCTCTTGGGTCACTAACATGTGGGTCCGGTCAAAGTCAACATCAAGTCAACGGTCAACCGATCAGGGTCACTGACGTGTGGGGCCAGGGCTACTGACGTCATCGTGACGTCAACATGACGTCACCTCGACTATGATGTTACTGACAGGTGGGACCCGCGTGACGTTGTCATGACGTCAACATGACGTCACTCACTGACATGTGGGTCCTGAGCCTCTGTGTCGCTGACATGTGGGGCCAGGTCAACCGTCAACGTTGACCGGAAAACGGTCAACACGGACCGGGTCTGAACTAGGCCGGTTGGGCCTGGTCAGGGCTGGATTTGGGCTAGGCTCAGCCCGCCACATGGCATGCTGTGGGGCAGCCACGTCACGACCTTGGGCCTCCACTGGGCTGTGGTCTACGGCTCGCGGTCCACGGTGGACGCATGCGCCGGTCCATGGACCGCAGGCAGGTCTACGGTGGACCGCGTCCACCCTTCTCTTCTTTCTCTATGGTCCACGTGCACCAGGTGCATGTGCGTGTGGCCGGCGAGGGGAATCTCCCCTGTTTCCTTCCCCGGCGTGCTCCCGCCGGTGGTGAGCTCACCGGCGAGCTCCCATGGTGGTGCTGGTGTCCAATTGAGGTGGGGAAAAGCTCCCCCACGCCATGGCGACTGCGACGGTGGGGTCAAAGTGGCGGCCATAGCTTCCTAGGGCCTTGGCCACGGTGATCGGTGGCTTGGCGGTGTTTGCCGGTGGTGAGGTCGCGCATGTAGGCTCCC